TGAGATCTGCATCAATTCGGACTACCTCCCAAATGAAGCTAACGGGAATACTTTTAAAACATGAAACCCAACTCACTCACTCACTAAAGTACTCGTACAACACAGCATGGCGCTGCGCCATTATTAGGATCTGTACGGCCACGGCTTGTCTATTTCATTGTGTTGTTCCAATTGCTTTCGTAATTACAAATGTTTGTTTCTAGGCATAACAACTTAATGTCTGGTAATTATCATCATGCATTTCAGCATATGCAGCAGGTTCGTAGCAAATACCAATAGGTGCGTAACTACAACCCAGATAGATTGTCTATTGCCTTACATTAACACAATTAACACAAGTCATTGGCATGTAAGCACGCATAGCACGTATATGTGACACTTCTATCCACATACCACGAGCAGTTGATTTAGTTCACATTCCATGAACATACGAACGAGAGACTATTTCTGCCTAATTAAAAAAGAAACTTATCTCCATATATCCAATACAAGTGGAGGATATTATTTAACGCCGTTCTAGTAATATTCAAAAAACGATAGGACACCAGAAAGGGTCAAGCTTCTTACATTGTACCTACGTTGGGACTTGAACGTGGGTGTTTGGCCCGAGAAGCCAACACTTTCACCACAAGATCACCACAACGTCTATGTTAAAACAATCTACTGTTCTCATTATACGACTTGACGAACGTTTCTCCTGTATCGTAAAGTGTCGCATAACGACAGATGGTCCAGTTGGTAGCGCGTATGCTTGTCCGGGTTCGAGACTCACTGTGAATGATTCGTTAAGACAATTCCTGGTGTCTCTTCGATAAATACGTATCCATTTTCCTCAGTTGTAAACAGCTCATGTCGCGAGCTATAAGGGCCACAAATAAATATTAATACCTGTCGTACACTTTCCAGACGATAACTGTACTCCACGTGACCAAAGGACGATCTCTCATTGGTCAAAAGCCCTTAAAACATAATACTCTCGCATTTCCACGAACAAGACAATTGCAAACCGCACTATGGTTATTGGACGGGCGATTCCAAAAACCGTCAGTGCTTAAGTGTCTATTGAATGTGTACGTCTCCGTTTCATGATTATGGAGTGGTGGTCCGATCTGGTTAATAAGGCCATGATTATTGGCCATATTGTTTAAAGCTTGTGTCCAGTCTGTTTGTATTGGTGTACAGGGGTTTTATCTCTGCTGCGCTAGATACAAATCTCCAATGACTGCCGTCTCCCACGTGCTGTTATTTTAGCATCCCATGACAAGCCGAAATTACCACTGATTCTTTAAATATTTAGACATCTCCCTGTTGAAGAGGATTTTATGTGAATTAACCTGCCAAGGTATGGTTTAACATGCGACTTACGAAGCCGCTCACGGACGAAATTTGATGATTGACTGATTAGTTCAAGAAGCAATCTTTACGCTACAAGAGCAGCCCGTGTCAGTCGCGCACCTGTCCACACACAAACAATGAAGGGTCGGGGAACGGACTCTGCGGCTCTGGACCGCCGAAGAAGATTGGAAAGAGGCACTGCACACTCGCCTTACTGCACAGATCGTTTGATAGTTTCAAAGCGATAAGAAATATTTTAAAATGAGGAAAACAGAGAGCGTGAAGCATGGTTTCTATCGAAACCTGATACCCGAGCTGATACATTACCCGGACACGTTCTTGAAGCTTGGGTCTTGGGGGAGTGCAGTGCCATACGGTAGCTCCTGCTGGGTCCCCCCCCCCCCCCTTGCTGGGCCCCCCCCCCCCCCCTTTTGCTGGTCCCCCCCCCCCCCCCCCCCCCCTGGGGTCAACCTGCGTGCATAGGCGGCGTTGAAACGGAATGATATTTGGATTTTTTCTCTTCTACTAGCTGAGGAATCCTACCGTTAGAAGTTCTACTATATACGCATTAGGGTAGTCTTCGGGATGTTAACATTGGAAGAGGGTTAGATAAAGTGTCACTTTTGACCTGGATGTTTTTTAGATGTGAATTATGAGGGGGACAAATAATGGCATGATTTGCTGAGATGTTGGGCGGTGGCGTTCACGAGTTGCTCCCCCATCTGGCAGACGATGGTGTTTGGGATGAGTGTTGTCAGAAGAAACGTACACGACTTAATTAACTTGGCTGATGTTTTATCGCTGTAGTCTCAGGTTTAACACAAAGAAGCTACTGCAGAAGGATTAGTTTAGCTCGGGGTTTGTTTTGAAAATTAAATTAGACCTTTCACTGGGTTTTGAGCAGAAAGGTATTTTGAATACTGTCTTTGTCTTCCTAACAATACATAGGCTGATCCAGAGGGGGGGGGGGGGGGGGGGGGGGGGGGTCTCCGGTCGAATATCAAATGTAGTAAGTTGTAGGCAGTACGATTATCTGGATTATTTGGACCCATCTCTTCTAAAAATGCTGGATCCGCCCTTGCATTATGGGAATTGGGAAGGGACTTTGCAACATCAACTTCTTCTTCTTCTTCTGCGATACATCGGTGTATGGTCTCTGTCGTGCCTTTTAAAAGACTCTTTCGTTATGAATTAGTCATAGCCTTGGAAGTGGCAGTCTCGTTTGTCAAGACAAAAATAAACGGGAGGTGTTTTAACAATAAACACAGGTAGTTCCACTTCTCCGCCATAATTGACTAAAATCACCTTTTCGTCACAACTGCGGTATCGGTTAGCTTAATGAAGAACGACAGCAACGGAGACGATCTCCCAGCCTGGCCTGGTACCGGCACTAAGGCATCCATTTTGATTTGATGAGCGGGTCGCTTCTGTTCGAACAAAAGCTGTAGACAGTGACTATAGCGGTATAAACTAATAGCGTTTGAAAAAGTCGTTTAATTCTGACATGGCTTTCAACGATTTACTGTCTGCCGGCGTCCCCTGCTACTCAGAGATGAGCGTCTTCTGCTAGGAGACTCCTGCAGTACCACTGCCCGCCATCTTGACAGACTATGACTGAACTCACCCAGCCAACTGTCCGGCGCGATACAACCAAACAGTAGACAATCAGTAGACAATCAGTAGACAATCGAAATGAAATCAAACACAACAACTTCACGGCTTCGTCGATTGATAACTTCAAATGGGATAGGAATTTCCCTTCACTTTCCATATATCGCAGTCAGTCGTAACAAGAACGTCAAGACTCGACATATGCCACGGTAAGGAGGTTCGAGACATCGTTACCTTCGAGACTGCGAACAGAGACTTACGACAGAGACTTACGGAGTACAAGTTACATTCGAGGACTCATATCGATAACATAGAGGACAGTGAAGATGGTTATGAATGAGTGTACCTTTTGCACAGTAATATTCCATATTCGTTGCATTCGGACATTGCTTTGCAAATGCGAAGCCGCATGGACATAGACGGGAGCCCAGTTTTAAATTTGGCAAGGATCCTCAATCAAATAAAACGCCACAACTCCTACACTCTTGACCTGACTTCAGCATAGCTGCAATCGCTATTGTACGTAGACGGAAGCCCAGTTTCAAAGTTTGGCAAGGTCTGTCTATCATACAGAACGCCACACTTTCTGCACTCTTGACAAGACTTCACAGCTGCAATCGCTATTGTACGTAGACGGAGGCCCAGTTTCAAAGTTTGGCAAAGTTTGTCTATCATACAGAACGCCACACTTTCTACACTCTTGGCCAGACGTCATAGCTGCAATCGTTATTGTCCAACAAGTAGGCACCGTTAACCAAACAGGAAAGACCTCACAATGGCCACTTGTGTCCGGCTGTAAGCTGAGCTATATCGGTGTTTCTTATTGCGCAATGCAATGGTCCTTCCATATCAACAAGATGTTCGCGGGCGTTGTCCTACTCAGGTCCACAGACCCTCGTGACAATGAGACCCGGGGTAAGTGGTATTATTGGGACGGTAAGAACATTAACACCGTGAATGAAATGGAATATTCTAATTGAAAAAAGTAGCTCAATGGCTCTATGGTCAAGGGGGGGGTCTCCTAAGTATGACTGTTACATCTTGTACATGACGGTACTATGTTTTGAGAAGACTGCCTTAAACATAGACGTAGTAATGACAAGATATGCGCGGTACCTAATTGAGGTGTCCCTTTGAATCAGACAATAATAACATCAATAAAAAGAGGGAAAAACAACATAAATCAATCCTTTGCAAACGGCCAGACTGTGATTTCAATGAAAATAGAAGATGTCTATGGAGACAGCTATTAGTTATTATCATTAGTCATCGCAGACAGCGCCGACAGATTTGGCAGGGGGGTCCGACTCCTCGGGGAGGGCACATGATTATCATGATTATCTAGAAAGGGATGCAGACCCTATGAATGAATATGATGTACGAGCAGAACCGGGCAACGACGCTAACATGTGTAATTAGATATCTTCACAGAAGCCTTGAACACTGAAACACAACACTAAAGGGTGAGGGAGAGAATGGCCTAATAGTGAGGAGGAGCGACGCAGTAGCGTTATAACGAAACATGGGCGATGCAGCCCGACCCTGTGGCATATGCTGTCTTGACTCTTTGCTCAAGAGTGCACCTCTTGCCGATACTGAATAGCTCTTCTGAAACTGATGCTACTAAAATATGAAACGACCCCCTCCCCACTTCTCGCCAACGCAACGCCGATCGCTGCCTGATTCACCTCTGATAATTGCAGCTGTTATGTTAACCTCTGTATAAGCTACTGTTATCATTATTATAACTCGCTGAGTGAAAGCTTTCAGTGATTCTGGTTAACAGACGATCTGTGTGTTGTCGGGACGAATAGGCTAGGCGGCGAAATGAGTTTGAACCTCATAGCGGTAAATATTTTATGATAATTCTTGAAGCGATGAACAAGGCTAATTATTCAACCAATTGCTCAAAAGAAGGTTCATCCGCTGAAGTAATTTTGCAATTTGAACACTAATAGCAGCATCTTTTCATAACAACATGATTGCAGACGATCGACGTGCGAAGTAGCAGACGAGAAAGTGTCGTCTGCTCAACCCGTTCATTTAAAACCCACCTTCAGCTACTGCGTCTGCCTGTGTGTCGTCTTCGGTAGTATCGGGTTTGGTAGCTGGTTCCACCTTATGCTCAAAACTGACTGTCTCCGTCTCATCCACGACTATTGGAGCCTGGGTCGTATGCATATCGTTCACTTCGTCATCCATGGCGGTAATCCGGGGTACTGATCCTCTGCCAAGCTTTAATACTGACTATAGGGCCAGCGAGCCAGCGCGGCCGACAGGGGCAAACTCAACAAGTAAACCAAACACTGCAGAGACGCTCCACGTGCCTTGTTGTAAACATCCGTGTCACGTGACGATCAATAAGTCAAGACCTGAATAGAATCGCTTGTGTCCCACAATGGACATTCAAAAGGACAAGTGTCAGAAGACTAAACACGCAGCTTCAAAGAAAAAATCACCAGCTATCAGGCTTGCATGGTCAGGACAAAATGATGGAGTTCTGCTTTGCCCGAGACGCTATCATACAGCCTTGTGCTTGGTGGAGTCGGAAGACAGCTGTTGCAGCGACAAGAAGCTAGCGGTGTGCTCTCCATTGATCGAAACTTATCCTCAACAGCTACAAGCTTTATCATATTGAATCAAACCGAGTTAATTTACAGCATTATTCATAGGTTTACAACTATGTACGAGAATTCGGCCGAGGGTGTAAGAAAGCAATTCGTTAATTGCTTGAGCATGTGTGTCCTTGTAAACTGAGGATGGAGGTCGGGGGAGAAAAAAGAATTGACCAATATCAAATTTAATTTTACGACCATGTAGATAAGTCATTAATGCGAATAAATCGGTGAATGACTTGTTTACTTAGAAATCCAACACTTGACAAACAATTGGAGCTGTGGTTATCATGTGAAAGTTTTTGTTCAATGCGCGTTAAGGGGTAGTACCAGGGTGCCTGGAGACGTCATTAAAATACTTCCTCCGGACAATGGTCAGCGTTGTTGATATACACGTGCTGACCATGAACGAGGAAGGAAATGGTCTAGCGTTCCAATTGGGTTTTTTTCAGTTCAAGTCGCCAGGGGATTCACAACTGTCCACTTTCGGGGAACTTTCACCCAGACAGCACTGACATCAGTCAGACAGCGATTAAAATCAGAAAATCATCTCTAAATTTTACAGCAAATTATACATTGCAGGAAGTACATCGAATGCATTAATGCATTTGTGCATGCACGAGGTATCCTTTGTATACTCGCTATAACACTGAACGATGACTGTTGCCCTCCAACAGGAATGTTGCCTTTTTCTGTTGTTCGTTGTCAAACGCCGCACTCGGCAATATTCTAGTTACGTGACGGCGGCCTGGACCTGGACTAGACAATCCAGTGATCGATATTGTGAGCAACGAGCTACGCCGCCGGGGTACGATGACACGCAATGAACCAAGTCACCGAGCCTGACCACCCGATCTCCGTCTCCTCCATACGACTTGCATAGATTGCCGGGGTACGATGACACGCAATGAACCAAGTCACCGAGCCTGACCACCCGATCTCCGTCTCCTCCATACGACTTGCATAGATTGCCGGGGACCAATTCTAACCCGGCATTCCTTGGTGTCCAAACACAGGAGTGAGTTGGTTTAACGCTGCTTTTGTTCATTCATCACCAGAACCTTTGTTACCGATTACTCTCTCTCTCTCTCTCTCTCTCTCTCTCTCTCTCTCTCTCTCTCTCTCTCTCATGATCTACTCGGCATCAATATTTTCATTCATTCATTCATCACCAGAACCTTTGTTACCGATTACTCTCTCTCTCTCTCTCTCTCTCTCTCTCTCTCTCTCTCTCTCTCTCTCTCTCTCTCTCTCTCTCTCTCTCTCTCTCTCTCTCTCTCGCACTTAAACCAGGGCAACCAGCCACCGATTATTCTGAGCGATAACTGGCCGTCCGCATAACCGTTTATCTTTGTTGGAAAGGATCGCTATATCTCTTTTCTATTCTTTTCCATTCAATACACTTGATGTAGCAATATGTTCCCATCGATTTAACCTCTATACGGGTCAACCAACTCCAACAAGCTACACCCATGCTTCGTCGAACACCCTCTTTGCTAACACAGTTTAATGGATGAAACTAACTTAGATGCAGTCATTAGAACATTATTAGAAGTCAATAATAAGTTTCACTTTCAACATTACGAGGACTTATTAGAGCGAGGAGATGCTAGATCATCGGCCAAAGAGAAATAGTTCACAATGTGGTTAGAGAGTGTGGTGTAAGAGAGCTTCTGTGTGGCGAATCTCTACTGACTGCAGGCACGGTCTGGTATGACGAAACAAGCATTTATACATGATACACCCTTGTCTACTGAAGTCTTGCTCTTCACTGGAAGTTGTCCCGGTCTTGCCCTTGTTTAATTTGAGGCACATCTTTATTCCGACAACAATAATGTCTGTTTCATTATTGGCTCCTGTTGGTTGAGTAGCATACTCGTTCTTGTTCCTGTTTGGTGCGTTGAGTAGAATACTCGTTCTTGTTCCTGTTTGTTTCGTTGAGTAGAATACTCGTTCTTGTTCCTGTTTGTTTCATTGAGTAAAATACTCGTTCTTGTTCCTGTTTGTTTCGTTGAGTAGAATACTCGTTCTTGTTCCTGTTTGGTTCGTTGAGTAGAATACTCGTTCTTGTTCCTGTTTGTTTCGTTGAGTAGAGTCCTTGTTCCTGTAACTTTCAGTGAGTAGAGTTCCTGTTGGTTTCGTTGAGTAGAGTTCTTCTTCCTGTTTGGTTCGTTCAGTAGTGCACTCGTTCTTGTTCCTGCTGGTTTCGTTGAGTAGAGTAATCGTTCTTGTTCCTGTTTGGTTCGTTGAGTAGAGTACTCGTTCTTCTTCCTGTTCGGTTCGTTGAGTACTCGTTCTTCTTCCTGTTCGGTTCGTTGAGTAGAGTACTCGTTCTTGTTCTTGTTTGTTTAGTAGAGTACTCGTCCGTCTTCCTGTTCGGTTCGTTGAGTTCTCGTTCTTTTCCTGTTCGGTTCGTTGAGTAGAGTACTCGTTCTTGTTCCTGTTTGGTTCGTTGAGTAGAGTACTTTATATCAACATAGAGACTGCCCAAGTCTATTGCGAGACATCTGAGAGTAGATTAAGTTTCCAGGGAACGATTGACGTAAATTCGGTCATTCGAGCGTTAAGGGACCGGAAAAAGCTATCACTGGTGCTTGAGCTGCAGACATTAGGAACATCCTCAGACTTAGGAGACAAACAAGCTTACTGTTTACGAGAACCATGTATTGATCTGAGTACCAAGACCTTTTATGAATACAGAGAGGACACAGAGGGAACGGGGATTGGGGCTCTCGCTACCTCAAATACTCTTATTTCAGTATATTTATATGTGTATATGGGCCAGAACTCACTTTCAAAAAGACGCGTTCTTGTCGATGTTACAACTTGACCTTTGGGACTAGAAGTAAACACACACACACACACACACACACACACACACACACACACACACACACACCGCCCCTATCGATCAGCCTATGCAGATCCTATAATGCCCTGTTCGCGTGCACCATGCAAATATACATACGTATGTAAAATATGCACACTTGTCAATTTGCACATGTGAGTGACAGTTGTGCATGCTAGCAGAGCTTAAGTCGCAAATGTTGGTCGGCTGCATAGTGCTGACAAATCATGGTTTATAAATGGGAAGAATCTGGAATTTAAAGCCACGATCAGCACATCCTGGTACGGCTAAGGGACACAACGTGTGATATCAAAGTATATTATACAGCATGGTATTATGGTTTGCCACCGCTGCTCAAAACATCCTCACACTCTGACGTTTTTCATTATAATGGATGTTGTCGCTGAAGGGAATCTGGATGGGATACCAAAATCGAAACTCAAATTGTGTGATTCGTAAATAATTCCTTTCAACCGTTTGATACTGCTGTATGTACACCCAAGATGGCCAGCAGAGAGCGGCAATTCTCGACCAGTACGAGACATTTAAATGGGCTATTGACTAGAGTAACACAGATAGCCACTCACGGCTCAAGGACACCGTTCTTTGAATCAAATATTCAGGAGTGAAATATAAGGTGTATAGAGATCGACTGACAACAGAGAGCTATAAATAGGTTTGTCTGACCTTACGCTCAAGTCAGTTGTTGTGCATGCAAAAGAACTTTTGACAAATATGACATGAATTATTGAGGTTTAACGCCATATTTTTGCAAATATCACGTGTCGGCTTAATATGGAGGAAAATCCATAGTTTCTTGGTCTGTTGATTGTTTAACGCCGCACTCAGCAATATTCCAGATATATGACTGTGGTCTGTAAATAATCGAGTCGGGACTAGACAATCCAGAGATTGACATTATGAGCATCGATCTACGCAACTGGGATACGATTACATGCATCAATCAACTCAGCGAGCCTGACCACCCGATCCCGTTAGTGGCCTCTTACAACAAGCATAGTCAAACGTAATCGTCTGTTTACGACTGCAAACTTCGCAAGTATCCGAAGAGGACAGACAATGAAAAAGTGTCATAAAGTTTTAATTTATACCAAAAATCTTCATCGCAGACGTTTAGTTCCTGAAGAAAAAACAAATCTGTTTGTGAAAGTTTTTCATATCGACCGAGACTGAGAATCAAATACGACTGGTCCAGGGACAGCATCCCCAGAACCACGTGTCATTCAAGAGTTATTTCATAAAACTTTTCGGAGTTGAAATCGGAGATTGCTAATTGTATCTCCCAAATTACCGAATCTATCTACTGACACCGAAGCACACAAACAACACAGTCTTGTTTGAGTGTGATTCGCCATCAAACATTCCATTTCCGTCGATCTGGTTAGTTCACATGGCATCAAATATTGATGTCAATTTAAGAACGGCGTCAGCGCAAACAGCAGAACAGGAACTATCTCTCGGCCTCACGGGAACCAAATATTCACTGAATCCATAGATAATTAAAGTAAAATTCATCAGGTTAGTACGTTTTTTTCTGTTTGTATACATATCAGATTGGGACTTAGTAATTGTCTGCCAGCGTTCATTTAACTTGTAATTTCGTTTTAAGAACGCTGTACTTATGTAAGCAAAAATTGAGAAATGTATGCAGTGGTAGCCCATTGTAAAGTGCCTCGGAGCTGCATGATCTGGGTATGTGAGTGTGTGAGCGAGTTCAAATTTAAAGTGACATCGGCAGTATTTCACCAATATCGTGACAAGAATAAGTTATCCATTTTTATACAAAATCATTATCGTCATCGTCGTTATTATTATTGTTGTTGTTGTTGTTGTTGACATTAAAATGGTATGACTATCAAAGGATAACTTCTTTGAAAGGCATTAAGAAGTTGGGGTACTAAGTAAGGATAAGAATTTATGGATGAACAACGTCTTTATTACAATTAAGACCAACGTTTCGGTGTAGGTTCTAACACCGTTATCAAACAAGTGATAACTGTGTTA